ACATTAATACCTTTATCAATCCATGTGTGCATTGTGGAAATTCATGGGCTGACTAAGTGAAACATCAGTGCCATCATAAGTGGAAATTTTGTTTAAGTAATTTACCCTATATTCGTTCCTGTGATAACTCGTATCAGATCACAAGCGTTGCTGTTAATGGGTTTCATATGCAGTCTTGGCTGCAAGTTAGAAGCGTTGGAGGATTTTGTTAGTGCTCCTATGAATGACAATACAATATGTTTGGCTGCACAAATCCATGCACATAGAAATGAGAGCACAGTTTGAAGAGTATGCCAGAAATTTTGACGAATGATAATCTTCGTTCATGAAATATTTGTTGGATGATGCTAATAACACAAAGGCTTGGTTCAATGCCCTTGAGAGTGAAATTTCTTTGCTGAAATTGGCCGTAGATAGTACTACTATGCAATATGCAGTGAGTGCTTCAAAAATTCGTATCGCTGAACCTAAATGGTTCAACGATGGCCATAATGCCAAAGAGTTGGAAAACTTCCTACAAGATATAGAGCAGTACTTCAAAGCAGCCCATATTCCGAAAGATGAACAAGTAAATATCACTTTGCTGAACAATAAAACCGTCAAACCTCAAAACCAAATTGAAACCGCTTTTTCAAAATCGTTGCTTTGGGTCTACATGATCCGTTAATGTTTTGATTTTGAAGCGAACAAAACAACTTCGAAGTAGTTTGGTTTGGGTTTAAATTTTTTATTACCATTTCACATCAACAAACCGTTTACAAACTAATGTGAATAATAAATTAATTTAAATTTATCCAAACCTTGTAAAACTAAAAATATTCCAATTGAAAAGATACATCCATATTAGACCCAACCTAATTAGACAATTATTGATCACTATTAGTTATTTAAATCAAACCAAATTAATCCATCATTATCACAATTGTGAGTGGAAAATCCTTTAACTAGGTGAACAACTATTGTTGAACCATATTGTCATTCAACCACTGCAATTGAGTAGACAATTAAATGTAGTTTTAATTTAATCTTACACCATTTCTTTTTCCTTTACTAAACTTAAATTTTGGCTCAATTTTCAAGTTAGTTTATCAATTTTCTTATTTTTAATAATAATTTGCTATATTTTATTGGTAATTGTATTGTTTGCTCTAAATTGTTTCGGGTTTCCTTACATCTTTAACTGAACAATAGTTTTGATTATTTGCATCTCAATTTTCTGATCATCTTTCGTCAACATGGAATTCGAAAAGTATTAGTTTTGACGCAAATACCAGCCATGGATGCTAAAACTTCTGTTATTTTATTTTCGACGAAAATGTTAAAATAAAATTGGGCCAAGTCACATATAAAATTTTCCTATAAAAGGGTAATCAAGTTGTTGTATATGTTGGGATATATGAATCAAAGAGTGGAACTCACCGGTTTTACAATATGCTAACTGGATTTAACACTCCTAACTGTTTAGTTCAACTCACCGGATATATACTCAACTTATCGGATATTCACCATGCTTACCGCATATGCAAAGACACTTACCGGATTTACCAAAGGAAACTCTGTTTTCGTAAGAAACAGAGTGCTTACCGGATATGCAACACTCTCACGTATATGCACTCTTCTCACCGTATATGTTAAATGCTTACCGGAATTATAACTATCAGATTCCATTTTTAACAAGGAAGAATTACTCTGTTCGATAGAAAAATTAAGAAATAAGATGGAAGCATATTTTCATTCCAATACATGTTGAATTTATAGACTTACAAAGACGCGTTTTCCACCTCTTAGTCTAACAAACTGTTTATGTTAAAGATCTAAGTAAGATAACTTTTACAAAGATAAAG